GGAAGAATGCTGAGGAGGCCATGGGCCGAACATGTGAGCAATAAGGTTTTGGAGAGAATGGAAACAAAGAGGAAAATCATACTTAACATCAGAAAGAAGCAGCTGAAATTTTTGGGACACATAATGAGAAAGGAGGGCCTAGAAAATCTGATACTCACAGGGTGGATAGAGGGAAAGAAGGACAAGGGAAAGCAATATGTGACATACTTAATGGGCTTGAACAAGTGGATGGTGGAACAGTCTGGGAGAAATAACAAAAAACAAAAATTATTAAGAGCTAGAAGGAATAGGAGGAAGTGGAGGGCCATGATCGCCTACATCCTGAAGGGACATGGCACATAAAAGAAGAATCTGAATTAAACCCATCAGGATAATTAAATGTCAAAACTATCTGGCATTTAATTTAAAACGAAAAATGCAACATTGATATCCTTTGGGATAGTGACATAGTTGTTAGAGGCATTGCTTAAAAAACATTGCAGTTACCTAGTAGGAGTGAGTTCAATCTCTGGGACAGGTATTCATAACTTCTTCTATGTTCTGTGCCCCTTCAGGACGTGAGCGATCATGATTCTCTACAACTTCCTCTCCTTTGTAGATCTTCATAATATTTGTTTTCTTGCTATCTCTCCTAATCACCACTGGACCAACCATTTACACAAGGTCATTAGGTAGGTTATTTGCTGTTTTCCTCTGTCTTTTCAAAATGTCCTGAGAGTGTTAAATTTTCCAAGCCCTCTTTCCCCATTATGTGGCCTAGAAATTTTATTTGTCATTTTATCATTCTAAGTGTCCTTCTTGTTTCATTTTTCTCTAAAGAATTAGTGCTGTTTAGTCCATGGTATTCTCAACAGACTTCTGTAGAACCCCATTACCTTGGCCTCAAGTTTCATGGCTCTCCACAATTTCCTGTCCTTTGTAGCTCTTAATAAATTTTGTCTTTTCACTCTCTTCTAAACCTTATTCCATCATCCATTTACTCAAGCTTGGTAGGTAATTTATGCATTGTTTTCCTCTTGCTTTAAATTTGTCCTGTGAGTATCAGATTTTCCAAGCCCTCTTTCCTCAATACGTGCCCTAGAAATTTCAACTACCTCTCCCTGATGTTAAGTATGTGGGTCCTTTTTGTTTTCAATTTCTCTGCAACTTTGTCATTGCTCACATGTTTGGTTTGTGGTATTCTCAGCATCCTTCTGCAGAACCATATTTCTGCTGCTTCGCTTCTCTTCTTCATCTTTGAGGAGATTGTCCAGTATTTGTAGCCATTTGGGAGGACTGATATTTTGTAACAGTTCAGTACTCATTTTTTTTTGTTTCTAGAAAAATGTTTAATACATTGTGGCAGTTGTCTCTGTATTTTTCTTCTTCTATTTACCATGTCCCTTCATAAGGTTGGTGATCATGGCTCTCCACAATTTCCTATCCTTTGTAGCTCTTAACAAATTTTGTCTTTATCTTAACTTTCCTAAACCTTGTCCTGCCATCTGTTTACGTTCACTAGTTAGGTTATGCATTGTTTTCCTTTGCCCCTCTTACCTTCAATATATCCTGTGAGTATGAAAATTTCCAAACCCTCTTTCCTCATTATGTGCCCTAGGAATTTCAACCGTCTCTTCCTAATGTTATGTATTAATGTCCTTTTTGGGGTTCAGTCCATGCTACTCTCAGAATCCTTCTTCAAACCACATTTCTGTTGCTTCAACTCTTCTCTTCATCTTTGATTGTTCAGCATTCACTGCCATATAGGGGGAATGATATTACATAACAGTTCAACTGATATTCAGTATGAATGAGCAAGAAACAATATCACAAGGCCTCAAAAATAATCAGTTCATAGAAATTATATTAATAATGGACACCTTAAGATGGCCAGAGTGAACTTGGTTGAAACATTGTATCCGTAATAACATATATTAGACCGAGACAAATAGTTTTTGTTTAAAAATTTCATTCTTAAAAAAAAAAAAAAGAAAAGTACAATTACATTTTATTCAATCATATATTCACCATTATTTGCAATGAATTCTTGCAACTTATCAGGCAGCTCTTTGATAACGTTCGACTAAAATTCCGCAGTTTTTGATGTGAAAAAGTTTTAGACAATCTCCTGAATTTTCCAACGATTGAAAAAGGTAATAATCGATTGCTGCATGATCAAGTGTTTATGAAGGGTGGGCAATAGAAAAGAGCAACCGAATTCCACACCTTTTTTTTTTTTTTTTTTCTAAGCATTTCACCTGAAGCAAAGCAGGAGTACCACTGGCACATGGGGGCGGGCATGGAGAGCAATCAACCAACAATACATTTTTGGAAAGAAAATATTACCAAAGCTCACAATTTCAGCATTGAATGACCCATAAAGAGTTGATGTGCTGTTAAACAAACCAACCAAACCAAGGCATAAAATGACGCCAAGTTTCGTTAAGCCTTTACTAATATTAGATTTCTACATGTGAGTTTTTATAATTCTTTCCAATAATTATTGTTGAGTTCTACTCTTTCATGTTTCCAGTTTCGAAAGCATCTTCAAAAGTTAACCATTGTCATAACAAAGAAGTTGCAATTCAGATTATGATTACCTCCCTTTCAGTAGTAATATTTAAAATTGCAAACAAAATATATACGAATACACTTGGGCACCTCGAGGTGGTGTAATGGTGAGCAAGATTGTCTCACTAAAACAATTACAACTGAGTAGTGAGTTCAATCCTCACTGGGTGCCCCCTACTTTCGGCCTTGTTCCACATCTAAGCTACGCTTGGAAAATCACTAAATACACATGGCGTATTATATAACAAGATTATTCTTTTTGATCATGGAATTATAGATTTTAAGACAAAAAGCGCTTGAGAATTTTTCTTCAATTACCAAGTTCTGTAAAATGTTGGGTTGTATCATAAATAATTTCTGTTTTTTTTTTATAATCGACTTAATTCATAAAAGAATAAAGTACAATTACATTTTATTCAATCATATATTCACCATTATTTGCAATAATTTCTTGCAATTTAACAGGCAGCTCTTCGATACCTTTCGACTAATATTCCACAGATTTCAATGTGTAAAAAAGTTTTCAATAAACTCTTGAATGTGTTTCTGTTCTTTCTATCTGACTCTGAATAATTAAGTCTCATTCATTGTTCCATATGACGGAACATTTTGCACGACACCATTGCAGTTCAATGCCACAAATCTGGTCTTTTACATCTTGCCATTGACCACAGCCAGCATCCTGCATCCATTGACATCACCATACCCTGGCTAGGGTGGGTCTATCTACTACACCTTACCAAAAGGCAACCCAGTGTTTGATCCCAGCGCCACATATGATTTTGAATTCAGTGTTGTCCTCCTGCTAGACTGATTGCCAATTACAGCTAGAGAGTCAAGTCTACTCTGCTATTTAACCCTAGCAAGGGGAGAGGAAAATAGTGGGGTTAATAACTTTCCCAAGAGTATTTGCACATAAGTGAATGTAAAGGAGTCAACTGAAATTAGAACTCTGCTCTCCAATTTCTCATTTCAAACTGGTATTCATTATACCACCTGCACATCCTTGTAAACTAATCAGGTATAAGAATACAACATTGATTAAGATATGGGGAAACTTATGAATGTTATGAGTCACCTTACACATGAGTAAGATTTAAAATGGCACACTGCTTTGTGAAATTGCAAATTTGTTCTGTTTATGGCTGTTCTGAGCTTGAATAAGCAGCAGAAGAATAAAACACCTTCCTACTGGCTAATATGTTTTCTGCATTTTGAAAATCATTTTTGTAATTAATTAGAGATGTTTGGTAGGTCAACTGATGCAGATCCTCTCTAAATGCTCATTATTCAGATTCAGAAATGCAAATGGACCAAATAAAAATCTAATTTGCAAAACAAAAATGAAAAAAAGAATATATTGAGCATTATCTTGGAAGATCGAACTTATTTTGATTGGAGGACATTGGAGAATTTTTTTTTTTTGCTCTTTCATATGATCTACTTGATATAACAACATTACTACGAATTAATGATAATGGAAATCATCCTTCGACAGATTCTGAGAAAAAGGATCAATAAGGACTGATAATTTGTTTTCAAATATTAATAAATTTAATTAAAAAATCTGTCCATCATAGCATTTAAGCAGAAAGAATATACTTTGTAAATTGGCATATGAACACACACACACACACACTCACACAGTCATAATCTCTATTCCGATTATTGTATGATCAACAAAGTTAAGCAGCATCAAACCTGGTCAGTACCTAGATGGGTGACCACTTGAGAATACCAGGTGCTGCTAGCTTGGATATGCTGGTGGTGTAATGTCTAATGGCTTAGACTTGTTAATCGAAGAGCTGAGTTCCAATTCCATTTGGGTTCATTAAATTTATTTATGTGCAAATACCCTTGGAAAAGGTATTATGCCACCTCTTCTCCCCCACCAGATATGGGTTAATTAGTAAGACATTTATCACTAAATCGTTATTATCTCAAATTAAATTCTTACAATCTAAAAATATTTTCTGAATTTAAATAACCTGCAAAGGGTTGATAGACTGTAAAAAATAAATAAATCTCCAACACTCAGAGCCAACCTGTGGTTTATACTGCAATTATGCTGAGTGGACCTTAGTTACAGTTCAAGTATGGGTCACATAGGGTTTTGAATTCAGAATTGTTTTTCTCCTATACTGGTTGCCAACTATGGCTACAGAGGCCAGGCTGCCCTGCAATTTGAGCCATAGCTGGTAGAAGAGAAGAAAAGAAATGGATTCATTCCTTACCTAAAGATATTTTCAAGTAAATGTAATGATCTTGACTTAAATTTGAACTTGGCACACCAATTTCCATTTCCAAGTCTCAAATTATTGCACCACCTGCACCTGCATGACCTCTCACCACACTTACCTGCTTTAATTCTATGAATTGTTGATAAAAATTTATACGACTGGGATTTTCTCCTGGATTTATTTCAGATTATCTATTTTAAACTGGCTTATGGCCACATTACATTGTAACACCTGTTCCCCATATGATTTCCAAAATTAAGCAACGTTGTGCCTGGTCAGTACTTAGATGGGTGACCACTTGGTAGTACCAAGTGCTATAAGCTTGGATGTGCAGGTGGTGTAATTGATAATAACTTGGAATTGTTAATTGGAGAACCAAGTTCCAATTCAAGTCAGGTTCATTATATTCACTTATATGCAAATAACCTTGGAAAAAGTTATGAATCTATTTCTTCTTCCTCCAACTATGGGTTAATTTGTTAATCAGTAAAACCATTATAATATTTTTATATATTTTCTGGCTTTAAATAACCTATAAATGATTGATAAGCCTTAGAAAATGAATGAATCAATCAATTTTAAACTCAATGTTATTTGTTCTGACCTGGCATCTCGGCTTCAGTTATTTTTCCACCGCTGTAATATTGCTTCACTTTTTTTCTTTTTCCTTTTTTTCTATAAATAATTTCATGGTAATTGTTTGATGAATTTTCCTCACTGGTATGTAGGCTTAATAAATTTTTGTGCAGTACTAGATTGGCAGCAAGGTCTGATCATTTTACAACTGAAACAGCTCAATGCAACTGTAAGTTCTATGCTAACAGTCTCTTTTCTCGAACATCTCTCTTGTGGAACTTTTTTCTGGTTTCTTGCTTTGATCTTGAAAAATTTCTAAATGCAATGTCAGTTGTAGTCTTTTCTCTTCTTAATTCTTTTTTTTTTTATTGTTCTCTCTATCTTTAATAGTATTTTTAATATTTTGCTGACTACTGCCACCGAGCAGACAAGGAAATTGTTTCATCCTTATTTCTATAACATCCTTCTGGAAATGTCTTCTCATGAAAATTGACTTTTCCCAAACACCATAGCTCAGGAATCAGGGTTGGACATTGGGGATCTGGGGACAGCAATACAGGACTGAACATTGTGGAAAGGGATTGTAAATGGAGTTCCGACCAAGGGAGGTCGAAGGATGATAATGATGAATAGTATTTTTTAAAATACACTGTAATGCTCAGTAACTCCTTGTGTCCTAGTGGCTTTAGTTCCTTCTTTGGAGTGAAATGAGATTTTTAAAAAAATACCTATCTAACCACTTGATTTTAACATTTTTCTTTTTTAAACGGGTCTCTTTCGGGTTCAAGTGATCACAGCTCTCCACAGTTTCCTTTTCTTTACTATCTGCGAATTGCCATGACTTCTTGCGGAAGAGTGTGGAGTGGTTTTCAGTTGCCTTCTCCATTCTTTTTCATTCAAAGTGATTCTTCTTCTAACTTGAATTCAGAATGATTTTCAGGCTACAACCCAAGGCTAGAGTTCCCATTTATATTATGTAATATTTAATCCTTACCTGGGAGAAAGAAGAGTGATGCATGCCTTTTCTAAGGACATTCATGCCTATGTGAATGAAACAGATCAAGTTGGAATTTAAAATCAGCTCAGGGATTCCACTTTCTGCATCAATAACCGTTATCCTACCTAAAGTTACTTTAGGTTGGTTGATTCTACAATGGGGGTCCACTCTTGTTGGTTATTTAATGTCCGATTTTATGTAGGGACCCAATGAGGATTAAAGTCACTACCTGGTCAACTAGATTAAACATCACTATCCATTAATCTATATCAATTATTGGTTGTTTGAGTTTACAATATGTCCACCATTGTTGGGCTATTTAATGTTGAATTTTATACAGGACACCTAGTGAGGATCAAACTCACTATTTAGTAGTAATGATCAACCAGACTAGCATCACTAACATTAAGCCATGCCAATTGATGGTTGGTTGAGTTTCCAACATCCCAACTTTTGTTGGCTTATTAAATATTGAATTTTTCTATGAGGCACCCAGTGAGGATCAAACTATTTAGTAGTAATGGTCAACCAGACTAGCATCACTAACCATTAAGCCATGCCGACTGGTGGTTGATTGAGTTTCCAACATGTCATACTTTATTAAATGTTGAATTTTTGTATGGGGCACCCAATGAGGATCAAACAAATGGTCAACCAGACTAACCTCACTAACCATTAAGCTATGTTGATTATTGGTAGGTTGATTTTATGGTAGGTCTATCTTTGTTGTTGTTTTGATTTTTTTTAAATGTCAAATACAGGGCACCCAGTGAAGGTCAAACTCACTACTTAGTCTAAATAATCAACCAGTCTAGCTACGCTAACCATTAAGCTATGCCTTTAGACAGGTGAAAAGCAAGTTTTCAATTTTGTGATTATTTTGGGGTCCATGTTCACTATCATGGGGATTTGGGAGTAAGTATCTTTTACAAACACTTTAATGTAAAGTGACTGCAGAGTGGCCTGTTATTGGTTTAGAAACTGCTTCACCAGAGCACTTAGTCTTTGGTGATCAGGTTTCATTGGCTGTAAGAATAGCATTCCATCTTAAGAAATGAATAAGTCTGGCGTTCCTGATTACCTGGATGAAGTGAAAGGAAGGGAAACATTTCCACTTAACTTATCTGAGCAGAAGAGAATTGGCATTTCCTTCTTAACAAACCAAAGATAAAATTGGGCATTGTTTCCTTTCATATATATATATATATATATATGAGAGAGAGAGAGAGACATGTCTTATTGAATAATTTAGACAAGTTTTGCCTACTTACTTTCAATTGGATCCTTTCATATTCACAGACTAGCTTTTTGGTGTCATTATTAAAGGAAGAGAGAAAATCACTGTGTTGATACTTATTTTTTTATTCTGAGTACTTTCGACATAGCACAATGTCATCATCAGGATGGTGTTTATTTTGAGACATATATATATATATATATCCAGGTAAGGTGAGAACAAATAAAGTATAATTCCATAATTGTAACATTTAATTTAAATGTGGGCTCACTACAGAGTAGAGCTAAATATTATTTTAGGATATTAAAACAAAAATGTGTTAAAATCTCTACATCATGGCAATTATATTTCAACCCCATAAATGTGTTTCCTCAGGTGATTTTAAACTACTGAGGAGTGAAAGATTAATTTCAAAAACAGAATACTTTAAAAAATAGGTTTGTGGGCTTTGCCATGATTAACCAATCGAATGTGACCTATACTAGGAGAATATAAAATTGACTAGACTATTTATTAAAAATACATTTAAAGTTAAAAATTCCAATGTTTCTGCATTTTCAATCTATACACAATTATAGCCAACATTTATTTGTTTATATCCCCCTTTCCTTTCATACTTGTATATAATTACATAAACAAAAACATTACATTAGTCCAAAGAAGACCTGACAGACAAAATGTATCAACATTTTTTTCCACTTTGTCATTAATTTGCCTGACATGAACAAAGAAATTTCTAAATGAGTGATGCATTTTTTTTATTTATGAATCCAACAAATTTTATTGCTTAAATGTTATTTTTTGAATTGCTTTGGAGTAATAAAATCTATCATATTAATAAATAAAAATTCATCATTATCTGTCTATATTTCTGAGATGAGGTATTATGTATACTATTTACATTATTTGGACTATTGTCCTCATCTTTGTCGCCATATTTATTACAACATGGCACAGTGGATAAAGGTGTTAGTTAGATTCAGTGAAAGGACCTAAAGAGTCTAAACTATGTCCTGAAGAAGGTCTACTAGACCGAAATGTCTGATGTCGACATTGAAACAACATTAAAACAGCATATTTGCATATTCAGATTTTTGTTTTTCCATATATTTGTCTTCATATATATATATATATATATATATATATATATAATTGATTGATAGATAATTGACAGACAAAATAAAAAAAATCAACTTTTATGTATTTCATCCTTCGAAAGAACTTTTCAGCAAAATAGTGTTTTTATCAATGATATCATATGATGTATGGGGGAGGGAAAGAAATACAACAAAGATTGGTTCCTATTCTATATCAAGAAATGTTGACGTTTGAGGGATCCTTGACTCTAAACTCAAATTTTTAAATTTTGATATCTGATGTATGTAGACCAGTGGTTCTCAACCTTTTTTGCCCAATGCACCCTTTTCACCATACGTCAGAATGTCATCCCCACCCCACATTCCAAGACTTTCCAACTCAAAAAGTTCTGTCCAAATAATATGCATATATTATTGAAAATCTTCATTCTTTTCTATATTAGTAGATATATATAGATGATTTTTATAGAGAAATTTTACTGATTTTATAGCAAGAGAAAATGTTGACTGATGCAAGAAAAACATGTTAATAGCATTTTAAAAATGTTACTAGCAATAGAGAATGTTGATGGATTTTTAAACTTGAATACATGTACAGTAATTTGTTTTAATTCGTAACTAATTATCAAATAAATAAACTGTAGCATACTTCAATAAATATAACATTCAATAGAATTTTAGGATATTGCAATTCAATAAATAAAATTTTGTAAATAAAAAACAAGAAAAGTAAACATTTTCTATGATCTTGGATACTGTAGAAGATTCTGAAGTTAGTGCACTTTCAATATTTTTTTTTGCCTTAATTTATTTCCTCTTTAATTAAAACTGCATTCTTCAATTTCTTTCTGAATTTCTAAGATGAGGACTTATTTAAACTATTTACATTTGGACTGTTGGTTTCATCTTTGTTATCACAATGGCTGTTCTGTTCTCCAACCTTCATCAGGTGTATATCAACCTGAATCAATATATGTGATAACAGCAGCAAAGATGAGGACAATAATCTGAGGGCAAATAGTGTATTCTTTAAGTTGGAATTTTGATCAGCCTTATTACAATGAGAAACTAATGCAGTTTTGGGTGTGATATTTTATTTTGCAATATTCCATTTTATGTGCATTATTTGTCTTAAGAAAAAGAAATCCTTTCAAAGGGAGTAACAGGAGGTTTTGATTTTCTTATTGAATTACCCACAATTCATCTGATATATAAAGTTGTGTATCATATATATATATATATATATATATATATATATATATATATTACTGCAAGCTTAGTACATGACACCCTCACCATGGAGCAAGGAGCAATGGTTCACAAGATACTCTTTCAAACCATTTGAGAAACCAGGGGCAAATGAATGTAAGCCTAATGAGCCACATAATAAAACTCAGCATCCAAATTCTGATGTCCAGAGAGCATAGCAGAATTAGCCTGAAAATAGGACAAAAACAATAAAATTTCATTAAAGACACTGGAGCAAGGTATGTGATATCTGTAGAAGAGAAGATGACTTACTTCATGTGGCAAAGCAAGCACATATATGCCTGGCATGCAAAACGAGTGAAGGAAAGAAAAAAGAAATATGGTTGCCCTGACACCTCAATTTAAGAAAGACACAGTCTCAGAGCTAGGAGAATTCACTAGAGTGGTTGAGAGTATGCAAATTTTTTTCGCTAGACAAGCTGGGCATAAAAACACTACACGAGAGAGTATAGACAGTTCATTCTTGAACATGGTGTTGCTTGTACAGAGAGACTTTGTCATTTGGAAAGAGATTACTTGGGGCAGTTTCCCACAATATCTATGCTCTGAATGATATCAGAAAAAGCGATACAAAGGCAGAAGGATGTACACCTGTTTTGTAGATTATGCAAAAAACGTTTGACAAGGCATAACACAAAGAGCTGTTTGAACTGTCAGGAAAGCTTGATGTATTTTTTTATAAGAGAGAATAATTTGAAGGAAACCAGCTGCATATAGATAAAAAGGAAATTCAGTAAATCTACAAAAATAGAAAGAGATGTAAGACAAGGATGTGTCTTTTTACAACTAACGCAACAACAGCCTTCAGTAACCTTTTATCTTACATGGTTCTTGGAACTTGTATATGGTGAGCATTAAAAAAAAAACAGACTTATACAACTTTTACAGTAAAAAAACTCTGAGAGAATTAGAAATCCTACAAGGTTTGTTATTTCCACATACAATCTTAAAAATATAGGTACGTTAACTCATAGTACTAATAGCAGACATAAGAAGAAAGAAAGGACTAACCATTAATTGTAAGAAGACAGAATGCATGGTTTTCAGCAAGAGGAACTGTACACCATGCAAACTATGAATTGGAAATACCAAAATCAAACAAGTACAAAAATTTAAATATCTAGGAAGTGTTTTAACAAGGGAGAAACCGCAAGTTCAAAATCTGAAGGCACAGTGAGATAGTGAAAGATGCCTTCCAAAAGCTAAGTGAAGTATTAAGAAATAGGAAAATCTTATTAGAGACAAAGTAAAGAGTACTGAATTCTTCTCTTTCTCACTTTACATCTCTTCTCTCTCTCTCTCACTTTACATCTCTTCTCTCTCTCACTTTACATCTCTTCTCTCTCTCTCACTTTACATCTCTTCTCTCTCTCTCTCACTTTACATCTCTTCTCTCTCTCTCTCACTTTACATCTCTTCTCTCTCTCTCTCACTTTACATCTCTTCTCTCTCTCTCTTTACATCTCATCTCTCTCTCTCTCTCTCATTTCATCTCTCTCTCTCTCTCTCTTTACATCTCTTCTCTCTCTCTCTCTCTCTCTCTTTCCCATCTCTTCTCTCTCTCTCTCTTACATCTCTTCTCTCTCTCTCTCTCTCTCCCTCTCTCTCTTCTCTCATCTCTCTCTCTCTCTCTCTTTAATCTCTCTCTCTCACTTTACATCTCTTCTCTCTCTCTCACTTTACATCTCTCTCTCTCTCCTTTACATCTCTTCTCTCTCTCTCTCACTTCCCCCTCTTCTCTCTCTCTCTCTTTACATCTCTCTCTCTCTCTCTCTCACTTTACATCTCTTTCTCTCTCTCTCACTTCACATCTCTTCTCTCTCTCTCACTTCTCATCTCTTCTCTCTCTCACACGTTACATCTCTTGTTTCTATCTCACATTATCTCTTCTCTCTTTCTTTCTCTTTATTATTTTTCATTATTCTCTCTTTTTCTCCCTATTCTCTCTCATATCTTTACCTCCTCTTTTTCTTACATTTTATCTCCTATCTTTTTTTCATCTTTCATATTCACACTTTCCCTCTTTTCATTTCTCTTCTTCTATCTCTTATTTATTCTCTCTTTTAACAAATCATCTCAAAAATAATGAGAATGAATTTTAAGAAACGAAAAACAAAAAAATAACGGATACATCATGGGAATTAGCCGAGAAATAGGGAACATTTTTGGACACAAGAAAATGATCATTGATACACTCAAGAAAAGGCAATCAATCACTATTAAATACGAGATGAAAGACCCCGTTAAAAAAAAAAAAAAGAATTGTCCAAGATGGAAGAGGCAAATTATACAAAATAAAACGTTCTTGATTAACTTAACGGTTTCTTAATCTTCTACCCCGGGAAAAGTCGCAGGTGTAGATTCTGAAAAGAGGAGGAATTTTGTTGGCAAACGAAATAGATAGGGATATTAGTTCATTAATTACTGAGCTAAGTTGAACAGCAGATACAAGATAGGCATGGGTGGATAGGAGCAATGAAATTCTCCAAGTAAAGCCACTTAGTTGGAAGATCTGCCAGACAAACATATGAGTCATGATTTTCTGGTTTTTACCAAATTGCGGATATAATATGAATCATCAAAGATTTCAAACAACCGAAAATGTCCTTGGCAGAATTCTTTCTCTTCTGGAAATGTCCACAAGAGAATATTTTTCCTTCTGCCACTTGATAGATTCAAGATATCTTTAGTACAGCTGCTCGTCCTATCAATAACATACTTGTTGAAGTTTATTCCTTCCTTCTCTTGTTAACCGATTTAATAATGATTTTTATACTTTTATTTCCCATAAAATTTCAAATAATATTCCTTTTAAATGATATAGCTCAGTTGTTCAAGACTTAAAAATTCAAGATCAAGGTCTCAATTTTTAAATAATTACTTCATCCCTGTAATAAAATAAAAAAAACCTTAGACAAAAGAAGATGCAGAGAAGAAAAATGGGCTGTCAATGTCACTGTGTGGGCAGGATAGATTTTTTTATGGCTTATCAACCTTTTGCAGGTTATTTAAAGTCACAAAATATTTTTAGTTTATAAGATAGTTTTTTTTTAAAGTAGATAATAATAGTTTATTGATACAAGTCATACCTGTTCTGTCCACCATAGCTCTGGGAGAGAACAGGTGAATTCATACTTAACCAGAAATTATAATGTGGATATAAAGTGAGGGATCAATTCTATATTACAGTCAGTATATAAACTGATCCTTCACTTTGTAATCATAATAGTTTCTATACATTTATATTCCAGTGAAGAGGACATCAGGATTTAAATAATTTCAAGAGAAGTGCAAACAATGGCATCTGTCGCAGAATCATGAATTGTCTGGAAAGACAAGAATGTCTCTTTTTGAATCAAAGATTAGAAAGACGATCGAATGACTTGGTGCAAAATACCATCAAACAAAAAACGGGTTCCTCAGGAAACCTCGTAACCATCAAGAATAGAAAGTTGAAATGTTATGTGCATATCATTAGAGTCGACTATCTTTCTATTGGTATCCTGCAAAGTACCACCTTGGGCAAAAGATGAGGTCTGACAATGTCAGTGAGTGGACTGGATTAATTGTTGTTTTTTTATGACTTATCAACCTTTTAGAGGTTATTTAAAACCAGAAAATCTTTTTAGATTACAAGAATTTTTTTTTGAGATAATAATGTTTTAGTTATACAAGTCTTACTAATTAACCCATAGCTGAGGGAGAAGAGGTGGATTCATGCCTTTCCTAAGGATATTTGCATGTAATTGATTCTAACAAACCACACTAGAATTAGAAATCAGCTCTCCAATTCCAAGCCGTTATCCATTACACCACCTGCATATAAAAGCTTATATAGTATTCCCAAGGAGTCATCCTCCTACATCTCAGTCAAGTGCTACATTACTTAAGTCGGTGATCATACTAGAACTGGTGTTTGAACATGACATGGCCATAAACTCTAAATAAGTTCTTGATATCACTGACATAGCAGGGGCACCTCGAGGTGGTGTAATGGTTAGCAAGCTTGTCTCACTAGAATAATTACGACTGAGTAGTGAATTTGATCCTCACTGGGTGCCCCATAATTTTGGCCTTGTGCCACATCTAAGCTATGCTTGGAAAATTGCTGTAACTGACATAGCAACCATTACCTGCCAGGGTGTGTTGAAAAGTTTTCAGCCTAACCAACTTACATCAGTATTTCAATAGTTTAACATCATCATCATCTTTTATATGCTATCTCTTCATGGTTCTCTTCAACTTCCTATTTTTTTTATAACTCTAGGCCATGTTTGTCTGCTCGTTATTCCTCCCTGTCTCTGTTCAAAGCTTTTTGGGTAGATTATCTCCTGGTTCTCTTTTCTTTCTTTCTTTTTACTTGGGTGTCAAACGAAATTAGAGATGAAAATTAGATATGCGTATATTTAGGACAGACTTTAGTTAGATGATAAAATTCTTTTTAAACCCTAAATTATTCACATAGTAAATTTTATTATGTGATGTGCATAGTGGTGTAATGTATATCATCTCAGAATGCGAGATCTGAGTTTGAATTCCAGTCAAGTTTGTTATATTCACTTATGCACCAATACCCTTGGAAAAGGTAAGAATCCATCTCTTCTCCCCCTCCCCCGGATATGGGTTGAATAACAAGACAGACTGGGTTCTTTAGCCTTGGTTAGCAACCTGATGCTGCAGAAAAAAAATGGCAACCTACTGCAGGAAAAATTTTTTACCTTGTCAGTCATATATCAAGAGATAGATGATTGCCCAAGTGTGTATCATGTGTAGCACTTAACTGACTGACTGAAGTTTTATTAAAAAAGACAGGGTCTGTTGCTGGGGTGTTTTGAGTAGCCTTTGAGTTGTGGGGGTTGTAAGTAAGAATTCTTCTTCTTCTGTGTGCCATGTCCCTTCACAAAATTGGTGATCATGGCTCTCCATAACTTTCTATCCTTTGTAACTCATAGCAATGTTTGTCATTTTATTATGCTTTCCACTCCTCATTGTGCCATCCATTTAGGCAAGATTGTTAGACAGGTTACTCATTTTAAAATAAAGATGATTTTTACTTCCAGCCAATGAAATGTATATTATTAATTTAACATTCTTTTTATGTGCTATGTCCCTTTAGGTTGTTGGCAATCATGGCTCTCCACAATTATGTTGTCTAAGTTATTGTGTGAGAAAACAGGGGATTCAACTTCTTGCGAAATAAAACGAACGCCTACTTCTTATTTGAACACTTTTGTGACAGCAAACAAGCAAAAGCGGCACTCAAGACTGCTGCTGAATGGACGACTGAAATAAACGGCTTGTGTCGCCTAAAAAGGACAAAAACGACTTGACATCTTCTTCTTGTAGTCCTCGGTCGAGTCCATTATAATAAAAAAGGTGTGTCCCAGCACAACACAAAATTAAAGTTCGAGGATATTTCAGATCATTATAAAATACCTGGTTATATGTCTTTTTATTATCCTTCCCACTTCCACTCCCTGACATCCATTTACATAAGCTTGTTGGATAGGTTACTCACTGCTTCCCTCTGTCCCCCTGGCCTTAAATATGTCATCTGAGTGTCATATTCTCCATACCCTTTTTCCTCATTATGTGTCCAAGAAATTTTTAACTCTTTTTGATCCAAACCCTTTTTTGCTTACATTGGTTGGATTCAGTGACTTGACTCAAAGAGTTATGAGTTCAGTTGTGGTGAACAAAAACTTTAATTTAATATGCAAAGTACCTTGTTATCAAGTATATATTGATGTCTTTTTTACAGGGTTAAACATCAGAAAAGAAATTAAAAAGTAAACATTTATTTAAAAATAAGACTAAAAATATATCAAATTAACAAAGAAATGGTTTAAAATGTGTGCAAGTTCTAAGCAATGCTTCATAAATAATGTTTTTTGTGTTGGAGTGTAATGAAGCATTTTCCACTGAAGTCTAAAAAAAAAAACATGTGGCAAAATTGTCTTATGGCAAAAATCCTATACTGCAAAGTTTTCTATGGTGAAAATTCCTGAGGCAAGTTTTCATATGGCAAAAATGTTTACAGTGAATGTTCCTAGAACTGATTCACTGTGTCATTTTTTATTGTTAGAATCCATCTTGCATATTTATAAATCTATCATTCATCCATGCGTTAAATATTACTGTCCTATCTGGTCTGGAAAGAAATTACAAAATCTCCTATGAAAGGTGAGAAGAAAGGACTAAGCATAAACTACAAGAAGACAGAATTCATGGTCATCAGTAAAAGGATGAGCCCGAAATAAGATTTGCAAGTCAGGAACACTAAAATCAAGCAGACGCAGAAGTTTGAATATCTGGGAAGTGTCTTGACAGACGACATTAAGTGCAACACTGAGATCTGTAGACGTATTGGGATGACCAAGGACACATTCCAAAAGTTAGGCAGAGTATTGCGAAACAGGAGAATATCTTTGGTAACAAAAGAATACTGAACTGTTACGTGACATCTGTTTTTCTTTATGGCAGCAAATGTTAGACAATTTCCTCAAAGATGAAGAAGAGACTTGAGGCGACAGAAATGTGGTTCTACAAAAGGATCCTAAGGATATAATGGACCGACTGTGTGAGCAACGATGAGATCTTAGAGAGGTTGCAAACAAGGAGGAGGCTTATACTTAATATCAAGAAGAGGCAGTTGAAGTTTCTGGAACACATAATGAGGAAGGAATGCCTGGAGAATCTGATACTCGCGGGTCGAATCGAGGGAAAGAGAGACAAGGGAAAACAATGCATGACATACCTGGAGAACTTAAGCAAGTGGATGACAGAACGTGGTCTAGGGGAGGAAGCAGAGAGAAGGAACTTGTCGTGAACTGCAAGGGATAGAGGGGGGTAGAGAGCCATGATTGCTTACATCCTAAAAGGACATGGCACATAAAAAGAAAGATCTGATCTGATACTTTGGCTATATATCTTGAGATTCTCAACAAAATCCAAGGGCTTGTAATGTTATCGATCCAGAGCTGACAGCTTGACTTCAGTCACAGCACCATTGCATGGCATCCGTTTATCTTTTCTTTAAATATTTTCATGGTAGTTTTTCTAATGAGATCTCCTCCTTGATATCTTGACCACATGAATTTAAACGTACTACTAGATTGGCTGTTAGGTCTCATCATTTTACTTTTGAATTAATTTGATGTAACCGTAAGGTCTGTTCTAATAATTTCTTTTCTTGGGCTTCTCGCCTGTAGAATTCTCTTTTGGTTACTTGCTTCCCTGCTGCCTACAATCTTCAAAAATTTAAATGCAACATTAATTGTCAATGTCCATTTTCTTGAAACCTGTACTTTTATTGCCCTTTCTCTCTCCACTTACATCTTTTCATTCTCTATTAAATAAATTTACTCTTTAGTGTTTTAAGATATTTTTGTGTAATTTTGGTAAATATATCTGTTAAAATGAAATGTCAGTGTTATTTTCATTATTGCACAATTTAGATGACAATTTATCCATCTCTCTCTCTCTCTCTCTATATATATATATATATATATATATATAAGCAAATATATGGATATAGATCTGACAGTATGAAGAAAAATATACTGAAAAAACAAACAAAAATCCTAGAATTTTATTTTGATCTAAAACTTATATGTATGTTTGTCAAGCATTAATCTTGCTAGAAAAGGGGAAATATTAAAGAAGCCAGGTCTAGTGTTCACTGTGCATGAGATAGATATTATGCCTGCTTCATAAATCCGCCTAAGATTTTTATTATGAAAATATTTTAAAATCTTCACAGAATCAAAATCGAAATTATGATAAATATAAAATAAAATTCTTTTTGTTTTTCATTCAAAATACTCAAATTTTAGGAATATGTTTTCACAACATTGCCCACATGATGACGACGTGATCATATTTAAACGGAACACTGATCTTATAAAAGATTTCAGTTATCTGTTTGGATTGGTATTGCTTTTATGGCCATCGTCTTTTTCATGTTGAATTGCATATGGTCTATGTTAATTATGTTTTATGAATATGTCCTGAAGATGGTCTATTAGACCAAAACGTCCGATGTTGACATTAAACATTAAAACAGCATAATCACATATTAGGATTTTTGTTTCTTTTTTTCAGTATATTTTTCTTCATATATATATATATATATATATATATATATATATATATATATATATATATATATATATATATATCATTTTTTTTTTAAAATAGTTTAGACATATGTCTATTTATTTTTATTTTTATCCTTTCAAGTTCACAAATTAATTGGTAGCTGTAGAAAATTGATAAAGAAAAATTACAAAATTAGTCGAAAATGCAACATTAATTGTTGATGTCCATTTTCCTGAAACCTGTACTTTTATTGTCTTTCTCTCACCACTTACATCTTTTCATTCTCTTTCACTCTTGGTAACTACTTGTATCTTAGTGGCAATATATATATATATATATATATATATATATATATATATATATGTGTGTGTTTGTGTGTTCTATATTACATGCTTGGCCCCACACCTAACCTTCTGTCATATTTTACCTTTGTAACAAGGTGAAAAAATATTTTAATTGATCCCCTCCTTTATACATAAAGCTTTATATATTTTCATGCAATTTTAAAATTAAATGGCAAGTCAGACAAGCATAAGCAAAGCTTCGCTGTATCCTGTTGTGTTTGGGCTTAACATATCTTCCTTTGTCATATTTGTGAAGCTGTCTTCCACAGACTCAGTATTAGCAACATTCTTTGACCCTCTTCTTCCCTCCCACTTTCTTTGACCCTCTTCTTCCCTCCCACTTTCTTTGACCCTCTTCTTCCCTCCCACTTTCTTTTTTTCTTCTTCCTCCCTTTCTTTTTGATCTGCTTCTTCCCTCCCACTTTTTTGACCTCTTCTTCCCTCCCACTTTCTTTTGACCTCTTCTTCCTCCCCTTTCTTTGACCCTCTTCTTCCCTCCCACTTTCTTTGACCCTCTTCTTCCCTCCCACTTTCTTTGATCTGCTTCTTCTCTCCTTTTCTTTGATATTTTCTTCTTCTCCTTTCATTGTTCCTCCTTTCTTCAATCTTCAATATATGTTCCTCTTCTCTCACCCCGTTCTTCAGCTCTCTCCTCCTTTTCTCTCTCCCCACCATTCTTCATCTCAATCCCCTCTTCTCCCTCTCCATTCTTCAGCTCTCTCCTCCTCCCCTCTCTCTCCATTCTTCAGCTCTCTCCACCTCTCTCTCTCTCTCCATTCTTCAGCTCTCTCCATTCTTCAGCTCTCTCTCCTCCTCCTCTCTCTCTCCATTCTTCAGCTCTCTCCTCCTCCTCTCTCTCCATTCTTCAGCTCTCTCTCCTCCTCCTCCTCTCTCTCCATTCTTGTCTCTCTCCTCCTCCTCTCTCTCTCCATTCTTCAGCTCTCTCTCCTCCTCCTCTCTCTCCATTCTTCAGCTTCTCCTCCTCCTCTCTCTCATTCTTCATTCTCTCTCCTCCTCCTCCTCTCTCTCTCCATTCTTCAACTCTCTCCTCCTCCTCTCTCTTTCCATTCTTCAGGATCTCTCCTCCTCCTCTCTCTCCAACAATTCAGCTCTCTCCTCCTCCTCTCTCTCATTCTTCAGCTCTCTCCTCCTCCTCTCTCTCTCCCATTCTTCAGATATCTCTCCTCCTCCTCTCTCTCTCCATTCTTCAGATTTATCTCCTCCTCCTCTCTCTCTCTCTCCATTCTTCAGATATCTCCTCCTCCTCTCTCTCTCTCTCTCTCTCCATTCTTCAGATATCTCCTCCCTCTTCTTCAAATCTCTCCTCCTCCTCTCTCTCTTCCCTCTTCTTCAGCTCTCTCCTCCTCCCTCCTCTTTTTATTCATTTCTACCTTTCTCCATTTTTATTCATTTCTACCCATTTTCCTCTTTCTCTTTTTACTAATTTTTACCCATTCCCCTCTCTCTTGTTCCTTCTATTTTCTCCTCCTTTCTGCTTTCTTTATTATTTTCCTCTTTCTCCATCTCTTCTTTTATTATTCTCCCCTCCCTCCCTGTCTTGTTCTCTCTTCTATTTTTTCTTATTCTCACTTTGTTTCTCTTTTTGTTTTTGTTCTTATCGTCTTTCTTCTCTATGAAGCTGACCTGAACATATCAAAAGCCTTTTCAATTAGTGTTCATGTTTAACTGGTCGACAGCAAGAGAGACTTGTTACTTGCTCCATCCTTCAACAAGTGCATTGGTAAATATAGGCATCATGGCTGGGCACACTGGTCTAGTCGCAGCCACTGCTGCTGCCTTGTCAAATCTTCCTTTCCCCACAACCATACAGAATTATTCCTTCACCATCAAGTCAGGTCTCTGCAGAAGCCGTTTATCATTTCTATAACTATTTCATGCTTTATTTGTTCTTTTTAAATATTTATCTTTCTCAGTTTCTTCATCTCTGTCTCTCTCTCTCTCTCTCTCTCTCTTGCTTTCTTCATCTCTCTCTCTCTTGCTTTCTTCATCTCTCTCTCTCTTGCTTTCTTCATCTCTCTCTCTCTTGCTTTCTTTGTCTCTCTCTCTTCCTTTATAAAAATTCATCTCTCTCTCTCTCTTTTCTTCATCTCTCTCTCTCTCTATTTCTTCATCTCTCTCTCTTTTCCTTTCTTCTTTCTCTCTCTTTATCTCTTTCTCTTTCTTCACCATCTCTCTCTCTTTCTTTGATCACACTTCATCTCTCTTCAAAAGAAGAAAATCTCTCTCTCTCTTGTATTCATCTCTCTCTCTCTCTCTCTTTTTCTCTCTCTCTCTCTCTTTCATCTCTCTCTCTCTCTTTTATGAAATCTCTCTTCTCTTCTTCAAAACTCTCTCTCTTATTCATCTCTCTCTCTCAAATAATCTCTCTTATTCTTCAAATCTCTTTTTGAAATTCTTGCTCTCTCTCTTGCTTTCTTCTCTCTCTCTCTCTTGCTTTAACCTATAAAATCTCTCTCTACATGCTTTCTTTTCTCTCTCTCTCTCTTGCTTTCTTTATTTCTTGGGGATCTCTCTCTCTTATATTTTTTTCTTGCTCTCTCTTACTTTTTCTTTTCTCTCTCTTTTGCTTTCTTCATCTCTCTTTATCTCTCTTTTCTCTTGATTTCTTGAAATTTTCTTAATGTTCATAATTTGTTATGTTAAATGTTCCTCCATAAATTTTGAAGATGGGTGAGAGTTGTTATACAACACCACAACATATTACCAGAGTTTGGGCCTGTGTTGTGGGTGAATTGACTCTAGAAGATTTTCCCCTCCAAGCTGATGTATTGTGCATACAAAACACCTATAAAACAAATCTGCTCTCTATTAGTCCGAGAGAATGCTTTTTGCTAACCTCCAAGAGAGTGACTCATTATACCTTCTCAAGCTAATGACATTATATATATATATAGGGGCGAACATTTCAGAGTGTTTGAGTGTCAACCTGAAGACAGTGCAGATGATTTGGAAAGAGTTGGATGAGGCTAATGTTGATTACGAAGTTGTTTGGAGTGATCACTAGTGATGGCAAAATTATACCTCCATTCATCTCCCCATAGAGCCTCAGACACTACACGGAGGTCTACATCAAGTGTCTTGATGAGGTAGGGCTGCCCTGGGTCAAGAGGGTGGCTACTGGAAACCCCTATGTCTGGCAACATGCACCATGCCACACAAGCCGGAGAACCTATACATGCCTATCAGATAATTTCAGCAACCACAACTCTTACATCTGTCCACTTAAGTCCCCAGACTGCAACCCACTTAATTATTATGTGTGGGTGCAGTTGAGCGAGAGACCAACACAACTCCTTGTAACACCAAAGATGAACTGAAGGGAAGGATTATGGCAGCATTCACCAACTTAAACAAGAAGACCATCCAGAAGAGATGCAAGAGATTCCAAAGTTGTCTGGAGGCCGTAATTGAAGCCAATGGGGATTTTATTGAATAAATTTACACTTAAGTATTTCAAGATGTTTTTGTGTGATTTTCGTAAATATATCTGTTAAAATGAGATGTCAATGTTATTTTCATTTTTGCATAATTTAGACGCCAATTTATCCATCGCACCCTATATATATACATATATAAGCATGTTTGGTTAAATAATTTAGACATAATGTCTATTTATTTTAATTTTAATCCTTTCAAGTCCACAAAATAATTTCTTGGTAGCTGTAGAAAATTGATCAATAAAAATTATAAAATTAGTAAAAAATACAACAGTACTCCACCAAGATAATAATGTGCAAAAACTTAAAATTCTAGAAGCCCTTTATATAAGAGAATTGCAGTCAGAAATAGATAAAGTCAACTACAAGTATAGCAACAAAGTTCTTAAAAATACTCCATTATAATTGTTAATAAGCTACAATTAAAACATCTTTTAAACACTTAACCATATTCCAAAAATCACATAAGTTACCTCCCTTGCAGTATCCAGTGTGAATGCCAAACAGTATCACACGCCATTTCCAAATTTCTGGCAGATTGAATTGCGTCATGGTGCTCTTTTACTTACAGACAGTTCGTCATTGACCCTGCTATACTGTACTGTTGACAAAATCCAAAACACTGTGCATGCACATAATTAAAAATATAAAATGGCAACAATTTACACTTCACACCCCATGTGTGTGTGTGTGTGTGTGTGTGTGTGTATGTATGGATTTATATATATATGTGTGTGTGTGTGTGTATATGCATTCTCTTCATTTTGATGTTTTCTTATAAACAATGTCATTTCCAGCCTCAGTGATGCATATGCTCCTGGTTTAATTTTAGAAATATGCAGCATCTACACTAGAAATGTAGCTGTACCATTTCCGAGAAGTGCAAAGAAAATGGAATTGTTGAACCGAGTGCAACATAGAAATCTGAAGGCATGTTGGGATAGTGAAAGTTACCTTCCAAAAGCAAAGCAAAGTATTAAGAAACTGAAAAATCTTGTTAGAAACAAACAAGAGTACTGGACTGTTATGTAATATCAGTCCAACTATATGGCAGTGAATGCGGGACAGTCTTGTCACAGATGAAGCAACAAAAATGTGGTTCTCCAGAAGGATGCTGAGAATACCACAGCCTGAATATGTGAGCAATGACTGCGTTTTAGAGAAAAGGGAAACCTAAAGGACACTTTTACTTAGAATCAGAGAGAAAGAGTTGAAATTTCTAGGGCACATAATGAGAAAAGAGGGCTTGGAAAATTTGATACTCACAGGATATATTAAAGGCCAGAGGTATATAAAAAAAAAAAAAAAACAGCACATAACCTACCTAACAAGCTTATGCAAATGGTTGGCAGGATAGGGCTTAGCAGAGATAACAAAAACAAAGTTTACTAACAACAACAAAAGACAAGAAACTGCTTAGTTTGGGGTAGATAAATATTAATCATTTGTATTTATTTCAATCTTTAAGCATCTACTGGATAGATGGACACTTCTGCAGAAAATGCATTTGTTATGTTCTAGCACCCCCCCCAAAATGGGGTAGAGATATGTGTGCATATATATATATATATATATATTCAAATAATAGGAAAAAACACTCAGATTTATAATCGAGAGTTGTTTAGCAATTATTTTTATTTTTAAAAAAACAGTACTCGATACAATGTAGAGCATGTTATAATTATTTTTTTAAAAACATGTCTCTATCGCAACACAAATTACTGTGTTACAAAACTGAAGCTTAAATCTTGAAATTTAACTTTTAAAGTCTAAACTTAAAATTCAGAGCTCAGTTCCATTCTCAAGCGATGCTAAAAATAACTTATGACAAAATAGGATTTATTAAGTTGGTGGTACACTATTTAGATTGTTCGAACTATCGTCCTCATCTTTGTTGCCATATTTATTACAACATTTCGACACTGTTGTACACTCCAGCCTTCTTCAGGTGGTTGGAATGTCAAACTGAACCCTTTATTTTGCTCACTGGGGTAGACTGTTTTAGTTCCACAATGGATGTCAGTTATCTTCTGTTAATTCCCCTCTCCAAGTTCTCCACTGCTTTCACCAGGTATTGAACTCACACTCTTTGAATTCTGTCACTGGATCTAACTAACACCTTATCCACTGTGCCATGTGTCCTTGTATCATGGTGGAGACACATTTTTTTAAAAATAATATATATATATATATATATATATATATATCTATATATATATATATGAAATATATATATATAACATTTGTCTGGCTCTTTAGGTTTAATTTAATATATATATATATATATATATATTAGTCTTTCTAAGTGAATGCTTCGGAAGTAATATATTTCCAAAGAAACTATGAGGGAAAGTAAAGAAAAATTATCTACACTCATAACATTATGTCGAAAGTGGGGATAATTTTTTACTTGTTGTTGTAGCATACCTATGGACGATAAGGGGTATGTCCCTATTCACATAAACACAGTAGTAAATACTGTATGTTGGTCTGATGTTGGAGATTCATTGTGGAATTCACTTGACTCATTTCTAGCAGTTGACTACATGACTACATCTACATGCTGCTGGCGAGTCTTATATGTGCTGTTCTTGTCCTAAGTATTATCGTTCATAACCAACATTTGCTTGATTATTCTATTCAGTAACCTTCCCTAAGTTACAACACTTGTATAACAGGTACAGGATAGAGAAAGTTTCGAGCAAAAAAAAAAAAATTTGCAATGCATTATTCTTCATAGAATGGTTTATGCATTTTCAAGCTTGTCTTCTTTTCATGGGTTGAATGTTGCACGTGGCTGCCCTGATATGGTTTGTCACATACCATTATTCAAATGCATTTCTCATCAGCTCGCAATGCTCACATGCAATGTTTGGTTTCTATAAACAATACTCAGTGGGTGCAATTTTTTTTCTGCATATAGCAATTCAGTGTTACACCACTGTTTCATAAGCACTTTCATGAAAGATGCTGATAAAAAAAAGTTGTCAAATACTGAATTGCTATATGACATTTTTCCAGTTTTTGTTATTTACAAAATATAATTTATCTACAGGAAGGCCTCTGATCAGGAGGAGCATGAAACCATCTCTTAATTGCTGTTGTTCCAGGTCCAACCTGACCTGGGGTGGTAGCACCTGTTAGGGCCCCAGCTATGGGTAAATAGTGAGCCCTCCAAACAAAAACACTATAAAAGTATAAAAGTGCATTTTAATAGTAAAAATACCAGCAATACATTTTTATATAAAAAAAAAAGACTGACATTATATGAATAGAAATACATTTTATCTGTAGTTGAAGGCATAGAGTTGCATTCAAAATATATTTAGTTGAAGCTATAAAATAGTGTTCAAACTATTTAGATTTCAGTATTAAATAACCACTAAACAAAATCAACTACTGCCTCTAACATTGCAGACAAAATTAATAAAATCGGAAATGTTACTTTTGGAGTGATCTGCATATAATACCTGTTTTTTGTCTTTGACGTAATAGAATAACCTGTCACCCCCATGAGTAACTACACTATAAGTATCTCTAAGTCAACAGACTACAGAGACTAGCTGTGACCTGTTGCAGCTAAACAGTCGAACTCTCTGGACAAGGCTCCGCCGAGTCTCGTTCGGAGAGGTAGACTGCCCCTGGACGCATTTGTACATGTTCGAAAGGGAATATTTTTGGCTGAGCCTACGGGCTCGGAGAACACAAGTTAAACCGGCCTTGTGCCACATTCAACCCTCGTGGGTGGGGGTGGGGTAGCTAAACATACTAGCTGGGATCTGTTGTGTACAACTCGGACTTTGCAAGAACTACTGACTGTCCAATAGTAGCACTCACTACTGGATTGACTTGTGCATAACTGTTACCTTTATTCTTATTGTATTGATTTTTTTTTTTTACAATAAACCTTAACTTATTTTATCCATCTTGTTTTTCAAGTATATATTCCTATT